CTATCCGCAGGGCCCAGGGGCAGGATGCTGGGGTCAGAGGATGAGGCTGGCCAGGGGATGTGGGGGCCCCATTCCCATCCCCACCCTATCCCTGTCCCCATCCCTGTCCACCCTGTCCCCATCCCATCCCCATCCTGTCCCTATCGCTGTCCCTGTCCCCATACTTGTCCCATCCCATCCCATCCCATCTTTGTCCCCATCCCATCCCTGTCCAATCCCATCCCATCCCTCATCCCTGTCCCATTTCTATTCCATCTCATCCGTGTCCCATCCTATCCGCATGTCTGTCCTCATCCTGTCCCATTTCTGTCCCATCCCTGTCCCCATCCAATACTATCCCCATCCCTCTCCCTCTCCCTGTGCCTGTCCCAATTCCATCCCCATCCCTGTCCCCATCCCTGTTCCTGTCCGGATCCCATGTCATCCCTGTCCCATGCCTGTCCCATCCCATCCCCATCCTTGTCCCCATCCCCATCCCTGTTCCATCCTTATCACTATCCCTGTCCCATCCCTGTCCCCATCCTTGTCCTTATCCTATATTGTCCCCATCCCTGTCCCATCCCTGTCCCGACCCCATCTCATCCTGTCCCATCCCTGGCCCTGGCCCATCCCCAGCCCATCCCTATCCCCATCCCCATCCCGTCTCATCTGATCCCCACAGATGGAGCAGATCAAGCGTGCCAACCGCCTCTACACCTCTGACACCATCTTCCTCAAGCCGACACTCCTCATCCCCAGGCGGCTCGGCCCCGAGGAGGAGGAAAAGGAGGAGGAGGAGGAAGGAGATGCGGGCCCAGGGGCCGTCCTGGTCAGCCCCGCCACATCCCGCCATGAGCTCTCGGCTGCCGATTTCCTCCGGCAGATCGACGCTGAGATCTGCCTCTCCAAGGCTGCAGCGACCCGCCGGCTCTGCGAGAGCAACACAAGGTGAGTGCCATCCCTTGCCCCGACTTTTGGGGCAAAACCCAAGGGTTTTGGAGGGTGCGTTCAGCCCAAGGATGGGTGATTTCGGTGGGTGCCCACAGTCACCCTGTGTTGCCACCCTGCTGTCTTCCCCCACAGCAGCGTCGCTGAGGCCGAAGGCACCCAGGCACCTGACACCAGGGCCCACCCAGCACCTCAGGGTGCCCGGCATGCCCTGCTCGGCCCCCGGCCCCTCACCAGGACGCCCCGGGTGGCTGCCCTGCGCGACACCGAGGATGAGATCTTCACACTGTGATGGGGCACCCTGGAGACGCCCTGACGGCTCATAGACACCTCCCCCACCACCCAGCCCTGGGTGCCTTGGTTCACAGCCAGGGGGCTGGGGGCACTGGGAGGTACTGGGAGGTGCTGAGGCAAGACCATGCAGGGCCAGATTTACTAGCTGACATTTTTCCTCTGACTATATTTATTTGTATATTTTTGTTCTTGGGGTTTCTGGGGGGGGAGCAGCACCTGGATCTCGGCGGGGTTGGGGCCTTCTGGGGATTGAGATGGGGTCAGTCACCCCCTTTGCCTCCCCTCTTCCCAAGAGCCTGTAAATAAAATGGAGCACTGTCACCTGGCTCTGCCTGCTCTGCCACCTCCCCCGGGGACATGGTCACCCCCTTGAGGATACAGTTATCCTCCTGGGGACATGGTCACAGCCCTGGGGACATCAGCACTCCTCTGGGGATGTGGCCACCCCTGGGGATAAGGTCACCCCACCCCCTGGGGATATGTCACCCCTGGGGACATGTCATAGCCCTGGGGATGTGGTCACCCCCTGGAGACATGGTCATTCCCTTGGGGACACAGTCATTCCTCTGGGGACACAGTCACCCCCCTGGGGACATGGTCATTCCCTTGGGGACACAATCATCTCCCTGGGGACACAGTCACCCCCCTGTCACACCCCCAGGGACACAATCAGTCCTCTGGGGACACCATCACCCCCCAGTGGCATGGTCGCAGCCTTGGGGACATAGTCACCTCCCAGGGACATGGTCACCTTGCCAGGGATGTGGTTATTCCCCTGGGGACATGGTCACCCCAATGACATGGTCACAGACCTGGAGACACAGTCTCTCCCCCAGGGACACGGTCATCCCCGGATGACACCCCCGAGGGACCCAGGTGTCCTGTCCCCACCACTGCTCTGTGCCACCAGGTGTTGCCCTGCAGCCACACCACAGGGATCTCTGGACTCCCTAGCCCCCCCAGGATGTCCCCAAGGACCCTCTCCCTCAGAGACACCCTGTCCCCAAGGAGGCCCCAGTGTCACCCTGTCCCTCAGCCTCTCCAGGATGTCCACAGAATCACCCTTGTCCCCAAGGACCTCCAGGGTCAACGCATCACCCAGGGCCCCTGGAATGTCCCCAGGGCTGCCACATCCCCAAGGACCACTGGAATGTCCCCAGGGCCAGCCCATCCCGCAGGCATCCCAGCCCCCAGTGGTTCCAGTTCTCCCAGTAGCTCCTAGTCCCCAATGGGACACAGCCCCAGTACACACACATGTCCACACACAGATACACGTGCATTCACATGTGCAGGCACAGCCATGCACATACACACAACCATGCACACATGCTCATGTACCTACACATACACATGCCTGTGCAACCACACCTGCGCATACACATACATTTATGCAGGCACAAATATGCACGCACAGGCACAGCTGCACGTGCAAACACACGCACATGCACACAAATAGGCATGCACAAACACACATGCTCACACCTGGGCAGGCACAAGTATGCATGCACACCTGTACCTATGCACACACACCTGCAAGCACTCATACACAGACACATGCACACACAGACATGCATGCACACACGTGGTTACACACAGATGCATGGACACACACACAGACATGCACACAGCCACCAGCGCAGGAAAGGCCACCTGGTCCCCACCCAGCACCCAACACAATATAGTGCCAAGGTGAGTCCTAGTCCCAACGCGCTGCATGGGTGTGTGTGTGGGTCCTTGCACATGTGCGTGCCTGCATTTGCATGCATGTTCACATGCTGCATGTGTATCTGCCCATGTGTGTTTCTATCCATGCATTTTTACAGGTGTTTGTGCAGGCGTGCGTGCATGCCGTACACATTTGCATGCATGTGCATGCATATGTGTACATGCCTGCACATGAGTGTATGTTTCCATTTGGATGCATATGTATGTGTGCACGTGCTGGTGTGTTAGCATGTGTGTGTATTTGCACACGTATATTTTCACATCTGCTTTTGCATGCATGTGTTCCCGTGCAAACGTGTATGGCCTGGCACAGGCTCATACGAGCCTGTAGAGCCTGGCAGGATCCTATAGGAGCCTGTAGAGCCCTGCACAGGCCCATACGAGCCCATGAAGCCTGGCACAGCCCCACAGAAGCACAGAAAGCATAGCACCAGCCCCTGCAAGCCCATAGAGCCCGGCACAAGCCTCTACAAGCCCATAGAGCCTGGCACAGGCATGCATGAGCCCACAGAGCCCAGCTCAAGCCAGTACAAGCCCTTAGAGTCAATCATGGCCCCATAGGAGCCCACAGAGTCCAGCACAGGCCCATTCACACCTGTAGAGGCCAGCATGAGCCTGTATGAGCCCATAGAGCCTGGCACAGGCATGTATGCACCCATAGAGCCTGGCACGAGCCCTTATGAAACCTTAGAGCCCAGCACAGGTGCGAACAAGCCCATAGAGCCTGGCACAAGCACATATGAGCCCATAGAACTTGTCACAAGCGTGTATGAGCCTGTAGAGACCAGCACGAGCCTGTACAAGTTTGTAGACTGAATTACAGGCCCATACAGCCTCCAGAGCCTGGCATGAGCCTGTACAAGCCCTTAGAGCCTGGCAGGAGCCCAAAGAGCCTGGCATGGGCCTGTACAAGCCTGTTGAGACTGGCACAAGCCTGTAGGAACCTGGCGAGCGCCTGGCACAAGCCTGAATAAGCCCGTAGAGCCTGGCAAAGGACAGTAGAGCCCAGCACAAGCCTGTATAAGACCATAGGGTCCAGAATGAGCCCAGATGAGCCTGTAGAACCTGGCACAGGCCCATACAAGCCTGTAGAACCTGGCACAGGCCCATACAAGCCTGTAGAGAGGCGCTTGTAGACCGGGGCACAGGCCCAAAAAAGCCTGTAGAGCTTTGCACAGGTCTGTACCCACTACAGGTCTGTACAAGCTCGTAGAGGCTGGCACAAAGCCCTGTGAGCCCATAGAGCTCTATGGGCTAGTACGGCCAGCTTCTACCAGCTCGTATGGGCCTGTGCCAGGCTCGACAGGCTCATACAAGCCTGTGCCAAGCTCTGTGGGCTCTTTGGGCTTGTATGGACCTGTGCCAGGCTCTTCAGGCTCATATGGGCTTGTGCCGGGCTCTAAAGGCTCATATGGCCCTGTGTCAGGCTCTATGGGCTCCTATGGGACTGTGATGGACTCTATGGGCTCCTATGGGCTCGTGCCGACTCTATTGACTCTTATGCTCCTGTACTGGGCTCATGCCATGCTCTATGGGTTCATAAGGGCTCATGCCAGGCCCTACAGGCTTGTACGCTCCAGTCCTGGTCTCTACGTGCTCATATGGGCTTGTGTTGGGCTCTATGGGCTTGCACGGGCTCATATCAGGCTCTTATGGGACTGTGCTGGGCTCTACAGGCTCACATAGGCTTGTACCATGGTCTTCATTATCATATGGCCTCGTTCCAGGCTCTGTGGGCTCACACAGGCTCATGCCAGGCTCTACGGGCTCGTATGGGCCTGTGCCCCACTCTGTGGGCCTGTACAGGCTCATACTGGGCTCTATGGGTTTGTACGGTCCTGTGCTGGGCTCTACAGCCTTGCACGAGCTCATGCCAGGCTCTACAGGCTCATATGGGCTGTGCTGGGCTCTGCAGATTTGTATGGGCTTGTGCTGGGCTCTAGGGGCTCGTATGGTCCTTTGCCTGGCTCTACAGGCTTATGCCAGGCTCTACAGGCTTATACAGGCTCATGCTGGCTCTGCAGGCTCATACGGATTTGTGCTGGGCTCTATGGGATCGTACAGGCCTGTGCTTGGCTCTAAGGGTTCTTCCAGGCCCGTGCCAGGCTCTACAGGCTCATATGGGCTTGTGCCAAGTTTTATAGGCTTTTACAGGCTCATGCTGGGCTCTACAGGTTCGTTGGGGTCCTTGCTGGGCTCTGCAGGTGTGTACAGGTTCGTGCTGGGCTCTACAGGCTCGTATGGGGCTGTGCCAGGCTCAACGGGCTTGTATGGGCCTGTGCCGATCTCTACGGGCTTGTACAGGCTTATGTCAGGCTCTACAGGTTCGTATGGGCCTCTGCCTGGCTCTACGGGCTCCTATGGGTCTGTCCTGGGCTCTACAGGCTCATACGAGCTTGTAAGGCCCATGTACGTTTGTTTGTGTCTGATACTTGTATGTATGTGTGTTTGGGGCTGGAGTTGTCTTGCCTGTGGGTTTTAGCAGTTGTAATGTGCAGAGTGGAGTAGTGATGGAGTGGAATGGTGATTGGTCAGCCTCTGGGTGCTCCACTTTCTGCTGTTTTTTGCAGATGTGGAGCAACGTTCCAGGTGCCTGAGGGAGATGGTGGAAGAAAGGGGACTGCCCTAAGAAGGTGAGCTAGTGACTGTTATTGGCAGGAGTGTGTTGTGGGCATCAGTTCACTGATTAATTTTTGCTTTGTGCTTGTTGGTGTGAAGCAATGCGCAGGAGGCGCAATGCGTCTGTGCCCAGGAGGAGCTTGGCAAGGTGAGTGTTGGTCTGAGAGATGAAGTAGAGCATAGTGTGGGGCTGTTATGTGGTTGGTGCTGTGCCCATTGCCCAGTGCTGTTCTGGTTTTGCAGGTGCGTGTCAGAGCTTGGCGTGACACCCAAAGGCTGGTGGTGGGGATGGGCGAGCGGAGCAGGTAAAGGTAAACTTGTCCTTAATCATCCCAGCTTTCACTTTGTAGCACTAGCACAGTAGCCATCTCGACATTTTTTGATGGGCTTGAGTCATCATCGATGTGCTGTCTGAGCGCATCTCATCTTGTGCTGCTGACTATGAGGAGCGGTCTGTCTTGCTGCATTCATGCTGTAGGTGGTGTGGCCGATCATCTTTGCGGTGATCCTCGAGGCCTTATTGGCTGCTCTTGTTTTGCATCTTCCTGTGTCTTGCTGGCATCCTTTCAGAGTTTTCTTCCCTGGGTTGCTGCAGCCGTGGGTCTTTCCAGCCGGCTTCTTCTGCATCAGTTGTCCTGGCTTTGCTGGCTGCTTTCTGTTGTGGGCTGTGGTGTTTGACTCTTGTGGGCCACTCTGTAGCACCCGAGCCACAGGGCTGTGGCATTGTATGGCTTTCTGGGTGGCAGTGTCTTCTGTGCTGCGATTGTTCTGGTGTAGGGTGTGTGTACATGTGTGTGCATATGTGTCTGTGTGTATGTGTCTGTGTGTGTTAGGGGCTGGAGCTGCCTTGCTTGTGGATGTAGTAATGGTCATGGCCAGAGGAGAGTAATGTATCCATGAAACCTCTTTTGGATTTCAGTAAGAGTTAAGAGTTAAAGAAAAGCATACTTTAAGATTTAAAGAAAAACACTGTGTAGCTGTCCCTCCCCCAGCTGTTTTTTCTTTCCTCCCAGTCCCAGACACTCTGCAAGGTGACAATCGTCACCAATGTTGCTGTGGCGCTTTGGCTTGGGACTGGGGTTTTCTAGGCAGGGTGGTTTTTGGAGGTGCTTGGTAAACCTTGTTACTGAGAGATGTCCAAAAAAATGGAGGCAGTTGCCTGTTACTGCAGGGTTGTGTCTCAGTTGTTTTGTAATAATATACTGTGTAACTGAAAAGTCACTTTTTAGGGTTAGGGTTAGAGTTAGGGTTAGGGTTAGCACTAGGTTTAGGGTTAGGTTTTGAGGGTTAGGGTTAGGGTTACAGGTTAGGGTTATGGGTTAGGGTTAGGGTGCTTTCTGGCATGCTATCATGTCACAGGGCTTTCCAGTATGGTCTATCTGACTTGAGCCACACGCTAGGCAGCTTGAGCAAGTGAAGCAAAATCCTTCTTCTGTCATTGTCTAGGCCAGAGTCAGCTTCCCAGCAGCTCAGTCTCTCCAGAGTTTGGAGTTCTTGGAGGCCTTAGTTTTTATCCTGCCTTGGCTGGACAGTGCTTTCTGAGAGTGCCTGTCAGCGGCACAGTTTCCCTGAGGAGGACCATCTACTGAAGGCTGGAGGTGGCCGGGTGCCTGAGTGAGCCTGACTGTACGTGAGGGCTGCTGTGATATCCTTGCCATGAAATGCAGCCAGAGAGAGTGACTGAAGCAGTGTAGAGGGTCAGTCATAATTGTGGGAATAATTACAGGCCTTGCACTAGGGAGTAGTTCTAGGAGGGCTGTGCAGTTGCCTGGCCTCTCAGTAACTGTTCTGGCCTCTTTGCAGGTGCTGAAGCATGGTCTGGCAGTCGAAGGAGCATTGTCACAGCTGGGAGCTCTGTGGAGACCTGTGGCTGGCCATGGAGGATGGGCTCTGACTTGCAGTGTGGACACAGCTAAGTCCTGGGGCTGCCATTGTATGTGAGCAGGGCTGGGAGGTGGAAGGTGGTTGTCCCCTAGGTGCTTACTGGTATCACTGGCTCTGGATGTTGGCCCATGGAGCTGAGGGACCAAAAATATTAATTATAATGGACATGAATTAGTGTGTGTGGTGTTTCAGGTAGGTTCAGTGGAAGTGCAGCTTAGTGCAGTCCTGTGGAGCAATTCTTGCACGTGCTCACATTTGAATGGTGGTTAAAACCAAGCTTATAAACAGCAACTGTAGCTTGATTCTGGTGTGTGTCTTCCTGTTCAGCTGTGCTTCTAAATGAAGGGGAAACTTCTTAAGCTGTGGGCAAAACTCCTTGGCTTCTCTTTACTGTTCTCATGCTTATGTGTGCTTTGGGTTTCTTGCTTAAAGCTGAGGGTTAGGAGTTTTCACTTAAGGTTTATTGTTTAGTTTGTTGTTGAGGGTCTCTCACTCAGGTTATGGTTTATTACTTTATTTTGTGCGGCTCAGTCTTTATCATGCAGCATTTACAGTTTGCTGACTTAGGGATCAGGATGCAGGATTTAAAATCCAAGCTCATCCATAAATTTTGAAGTCTCGGCAACCATTTGGGTTCCAAATTTGCAGTTTGTCACTTAGCATTCAGGGCTTATGCCTCACTGATAAATGACAGGGGCTAAATCCTTAGATAATAAAGTGTAAGCCCTGAAGCCTAAGCAGCAGGCTGTGAACTCTTCTTTGGGGTTTGTAACCTTCCCCTGTCCCCAGCGTTCAGCTCTGTGCACTGACCCAACATCAGCATTTGATATGGTGCAGGCCCATCACACTGAGAGTGGCGATGTGACAGGTGAGCTGAGAGCTGTGGAAGTGTCTTGCAGAGCTGTAGTTTGGGGTAGGGCAGAAGTGCAGACAGGCAAGATCAGAGATTAGACATTTTCCTCTCACCTGTCAGAGCTGAATCTTATCCCTGGAGGAAAAAGCAGAGGGGGTGGGCTGTCGGCTACTCAGACACCTGCCACATCAAGGGCAGCAGCAGGAGCTGACCCTTCTCCAACAGACTGACAAATGCTGGTGTGGTGACGACTCTTCAGGTGTCACGGGGTAAGGGGAAGCATGCTGGCACTGAGCTCCATGGCAGACTCACTCGCAGTTGTTGCTTCTGTGTAGTAAAACAATAAACAGTTGCTTTATCCTTTGCACTCACATCTGTGGTTCCTGCTGTTGCTTTGCCTGAAGATAATGCCCAAGGGAAGAGGTTGGACATTGCATCTGGGGTTGGGAGCTGGTTCCCAAGTCCCTTGTACTTTTGAGTCCTTGCAATTCCTGGGGAGCCCAGTGCTGTTCATGGGGCTGTGGGAAATTTTCCTTGCATTGCCTGGACCCTCGAGGCTCTTGGTAGTGTTTCCAATTAACCTTGGGGCTGCCAGGGCCCCTCCAGGGCTGTGTGAGGTCCCCAGACTGCTCCCAGATTTGCTTTCAGTGCTCCGCAGTGTCCCTCGTGTGTCGGGGGCTGGGGCCTGTGTGCCTGGTGCTGGGAGATAGAGTTTCTGTGGGGATGAGGGAGCCTGCAGGCACCTTCCCATCAGGTGCATTGAGCCCTGTGACATGTCTTGGCACCCTTTTGGTGTGCAGGAAGGCTATTCATTTGCATTTTGGTTTGCCCCAGAGCCC